GCGAGAGGCTAATACGCTCCACTAAAACTGAAAATTGTTATTCTTTGTGCTAAATCATTCTTCTGAACTTGCCCCAAGCTGGTGGTGCACAATACGACCTCCGGCATCTCCTCTCGCCCCAGCCAATATTTCTGTCTCGCTTATTTTGAGTTGTCTTTGAATTAAAGGAGATTAATACCCAGTTTCCCGACATTCTCTTCAGGCACGTGTTTTGATAACCTCCTATTGCACGTGAGTACCACTTGTTCCACCAAAAACTAAGAAACTGCATCTTGTAGCTGCCGTGGGAGCCGGCACCGGCACCCGATTGAATATCCCGGGCGGGGAGGGGGCGGCGCGGGGGGGACATGAAGCAGAGCGGGCCCGTCCTGCAGCCGGCTGCCCCTTCCCGCGTCGGCACGAGAGCGGCCGCGGAGCCATCGCCGAGCGGGTGATGCCTGCGAACATCAAAGCGCTTCTGCCTGACGAGCTGTTGCCGCTGGACACGGGCTCTGGTCTGTGGTGCGGGGCCGCGCATCTGCTGCCCCGAGCTCCCTGGCTCCCGTGCCGGGGAGCAGCCTCCCCCCAGCCCTTGGTTGTGGTTGTGGTTGGAGCCAGGACCGCGCTCGGGCACCCGAGCTGCCCTTCCTCCCGCTGCTGTGGACGCTCTCCTCCCCCCCCGAGGCCCCCGGGGTCGCTCTGCTGTTGAAATACTCCAGGTTTTACCAAACCCCGGGATTTCTGCCCAACTCCTGATCTTTGCATTTCCTCGTTCAGCTGCTCAGAATTTTGGGGTAATTATTAAACGCTAAAATTAATTTTTCACCAAACCTCTCTGCTGTTTCTGCAGCGTGTCTTCTGAAGCAGCCATAATCTAAAGAGTTTGTGTTACAGGTGGGGATGAGGTGGAAGGGGGTCACCATCGTTAGGAGCAGCGATGCTCAGAGCCCGGGGAAGCGAAGGCATCCTCCTCCCTCTTCCCTGCCTGCTTCGCCATCCCTGTCTGCCCCGCTAGACGTCGTGTCGCGCTTTGGCCGGAGGTGTTTTACCCCCCCAACCAAGGCCGGCGTGTGGACACAAAAACACAAATTGGCGAAGGTGATAAAGAAAACCCATAGGTTCACCTGCCGCATCCCTCGGTGCCACCAGAGGCCAAGCCAGTGCCTGAGCAGCATTTCCTTTTGTTATGAAAACGTCAGTCTCCATCAATCCCCAACCATCCCTTCCCCCTCAGCTAGAACAATATTCTCTGATATTTCGGTTCCTTCTCCTGCCTTTGTCCCTTGTTGGGCAAACTGAATTTAAATTTGTCTGCGAAGGGTGTTTCGATGCCAGGCGGAGAGCTCGGGGCCGTGGCTGAGCGCCCTGCGCGGGGTCTCAGCCGGTGCCGAGGCGCAGGTGGGTGCCAGCACCGTCCCGCGGGGCCGTCGGCTCGTCCGGGCGCTGGGTGTCGGCTCCTGCAGCCCCCCGGCCTCGTGCCAAAGGTCCCGGGTGTTGAGGGGCTGCCAAGACTGACCCCCCTGGGTCCCCGGGTGGGCGCGTGGGGCGAGGCCGGAGCGGGTTTACGTTGGCCATCATTCGCAGAATTTGTCTTCTAAGGAAAATTTCTAATTTCTTCTGCTCTGCTTAGCGCTGCCGGCACCGGGAGCGGCTGTTTGTCTCCAGTGAGGTGTCCGCTGCCCGCTCCCGCCCCGGGAAATCCTCCCTATGACAAAGGGGGAGCAGCAGGCGCGAGGGCTGGCAGGAGCCAGGCGCGGTCCCGGCGGTGTTAGACCATCGTGTCAGGCTTTGTGTGCCTGTGGCTTCGGTGGTGCTGTTTGTTTTCTTTTCTCTTCTCCCTCCTACAGCTTTAAAAATTAACTTGCCTGGGGAGTTTCTCAAATCTTTCCCTTTCTCTGAAATGATGGATAAGCCATGTAACTGATTGTCATGGCCCCAGAGGGGATAAACATCTTCTGCAGTTTAAAATAAAACCTCCTCACTTCTTGGTTAATAAGTGTTGAAAGAAGCATAAATAGAAATAACACAGGATTTCCATGACTAACAAGATGACCACATCAGTGAATGTTGTTTGGGGTTAAAAATGACTCAGCTTTTGCTTCCCCAGGGTAAGATGTTTTATCCCAGCGCAGGAAAGGCTGCCAACAGGACTTTGAAGGTCTGGCAAACTCGGCGTAGCCTGGATTGTGAACTGGGAAGTGTTTGAATGCAGAGTTTAAAAAAAAAAAGTCCTAAACTCCGCTCCATGTGTGCAGATTTCTCGAAGATAAAGGAGCCCACAGCTTTATCCAGCTTGTGCTGACTCTTTTCTTTTCAAAAGCCTTTTCAGATGTTTTCACTTTTCTGCTTGCTTTGTTGAAAGATGTAAAAATTTAAGACAACCACAAAGTAAACATTTCAAAACTTTCTATTCTGAAAATTAGTGACATTTTCAAAATCCCTCGAATTCCGTGTCTGCACTATCAGAAATGAAGATGTTTGGTTTTTTTTTTTTTTTTGGTAAGACAGGCAGTTTTCGTTTATTGATAACCCTTCTTTTATTTTTCAAAGAAAATAGATTTATTGTTCAGTAGAAACACTAGATAAGTAGATGTCTTGTCAAAATAAAGCAGGTTTTCTTTATTAGAGTGAAATAGTAATGAACTCATCTGCTTCCAATATTTATAAAGAGTAGGGAAGGCCATTAATTCTACTGCTTGTGAATAAAACCATCTGTGATTTCTTTCCATTTGATGTGTTTTGGTTTTAATATACATTTTTCACAAATAAGTGCAGGGATTTTTTGTGAAAATGTCACATTCAGAATCTCATAAAGAAGGAACGCAAAGAGGGGGAAACGAAATGTTTTGTTAGCTAAGTAATTTCTCACCTTGCACAGAGAATAAAATTCATGCCAACTTTAACACATTAGGCGACAGAATTACATGTTCAGCTCTAATGCAATCCATGACATGTAACAAGGCAAATAGAGTATGTTTGGAAGTTTGTTTTCCTTTGGGAATCACACAGTACATTTAACCTAATCTGTCCTGACACTTGAATTATAACATTATGAGCTTCTTCAGGGAAGCAAAACGGTAGATGCCTCTTTTTAAAGCAAAGCAGAAGTTAATAAAACGGGCGACGTGTCAAGGAGAGAAAGCCCGATCAAACCGTAGTGCGATTCTCCGGAGGAAGCGGGTTCTAGGCTGGTTTGTTGTTTTGTTTTGGTTTGGTTTTTTTTTCCACCAGAAACGCTGGAAGTCTCATGACATGCTTCTGCTGAGGGGGAAATTTGACCTCCAGAATTTTGCTCGATTAAACCAAAAACTGCGAGAATACCCCAAGTGGGACCACTTTGTAGTTTGACTTGTGAGTGTTGGATCTTAAATTAAACTGAGTATTCATCCAGCTGCTCTGCCAGTTTTTCTTTTACAGTCCTCCCACCAGCTCCTGCGATGGAGACGGTGCTGACTGGCAGCTTTCCAGACGTACCTGCGCCGGGAGCGCTCTGCCCCTCGCCAGCCCGGGCTGCTGCTGGGAACGGCCCAACCCAGCGCCCAGGGGCTCCCCCGGCCGGACGGGCCTTTCTGGGCTCTGGGCTGAGTGCGTCTAGAACCGTCAGCCGTCGTCGTTTGGTTTAAGACCCCGGTTTAACATCCATCGTTCAGCGGGACGGGAGCAGACCCTCGGGGGTTCCTCTGAGATGAACACAGGGGGTGAAGAATCCTGACCTCTAATAACGTGTGTCCTCCCCCGGAGTCCAGAACTCCTGGTGCTTTGGAGCGGGGCGGGCGCTACCCCGGGGAGGGGGCCCGATGCCGGGCGGTTTCCCACGCAGGCGGAGCAGAGACCCGCCAGGCACGCTGCACCCCCCGGCGCGGCAGCGGGAGGCCCTTGTGCCCGTTAGCACCCGGCTCTGACCCCGTGAGCCCCCGTAGGCAGGAGGAGGATTGGTTCTGGCCAGCGCCATGCGAAGCCCTGGGCTGGTGGTTCACGTCGTGATTGTAAACTGGCCTGTGAACAAAGTGCTGCGGTGAAGGCGCGGGTGTTCCCTCTGTCCTCGGGTAACGGTGGCCACATGTTGGGGAAGAAAACACGGCGTCCTTCATTTGTTTCTTTTTGTGTGGTTATAGCTAAAATCTTGCTTTTCATCACCAGCAAAAGGCCTTTCCGGGAAGGCTCAGCCCCAGTCAGAGCTGCTGGCAGTGCCCGGAGATCAGCTCCCGCGCTGCCCTGGCAGCTCCTCGCAGAAACCCTGAGCAGCCCCCACGGGGGAGCCCCCGCGCCCCGTGGCCCATGCCACAACATTTTTCTCCTGAACTTTTTGTTTAGAGGATGTTAAAAAAAAAAAAAAAAACGAGCAAAAATTCGCTGCCAGTTATCACAAAAAATGAGCAAACTGGTCGTTTTCTCCAGCCACTTGGAAAATGGAGGAGGGAGGGAGGGAGGGAGGGGAGCGTGCGAGGCGGCGGCAGAGCTCCGCAGCCGCGGGTGGGAGGCGGCTGTGCCCTCACCTGGGAGCTCTCACCCCCGGGCAGACCAGGGACCTGCCCACTGGTTTGCTTGTCGTTTGTAGTTTTATCATTTAAACCAATCTGGCATGGAATGATAAAGATACTGACTGTCCAGAACAGGTTTTTTGACCTAATTGAACTGCACTGTCAGCTGGGCCAAGAAACAAAATCCCATTTTCAACTTTTAAAAGTTTTACCCGATAATTTCCAAGAGCAGGGTTGTGTCTAGATGAGGCCAATTCAAGTGGTTTTTGGCAGGTTTGGCGCGGATGGCCCCGGGGGCCCCCGGCCGTGGGGGGGTGCAGCCAGCAGAGCCGGGGCACCAGCAGAAGGGCCAGGGAGGGACACGCTTCCTCGGTGACAAACATCCCCCCCGCAGGTGTCCTCCCCTCCGACAGCACCAGAAGTGCCAGGTTTAAGTGATAACAAGGAAAATCCGTACGGGATATCAAGAGAACTTCCCAAAGGGGAAACAGGTGAGGCCTGGGCGGGACCTGTGGTCGCCGTCGTTGTCTTTGCTGAACACTTGTTGGGACCGGGGGAGGTGACGCCCGACGCTGCGTCCCCCCGGCGCTGCCCTTCCTCTGGCAGCACGCACTGGGAGCACTGGTGGGCTGTTCCCACGGTCATGGCCAGGGTCTGGGACTGGGGATGTTGGGGTTCTGGAGGGGGGGGAAGGTGCCTACAGAGTGACAAGTGTCAGGAGAACAGGGAGCCCCAGAAGCTGACGCGCTGTAAGGTCATCTCAGGTCGTTTCCCTCCCCTTAGGAGCGTCTGGAGTCGCCCCTCCAAACCGGGCAAGAAGCCTCTTGTTGCCACTCCCGGGCACGTGTCCCGCGGGAGCAGCCGAGGGCCTGGTCGGGATGCAGCTGGCAAAAAACTGGGGGGATGAGGTGGGCAGGGGGAGAGGGGGACAGGGGCTGCAGCCGGGCCGGCGGGTGCTGCGGCGATGCCCAGGGACCTCCCGACCACGCCAGGACTCGCTGCCAAACCGGGCTCCTGCTCCAGCGACGCTTCTCTTACCTCTAGAAAAGGTCCGTGAACTGGGCAGCGCTGCTGGCAAAAAACGAGAAGCGCAAACTTCAGGGATACGTAGGGATCAGTTCGTTTCAGGAGCACTGGAGGTGACGGGGGTGGTTTCCTGTGACTGACTTTTATCTGAATTACACAAACATTTCCTGCGCTTCCCACCTACACCTCAAATTTTTCCCACAGCCTCCCGGCAGTGACCTGTCGCAGTCAGCAGAAGCCAGCCCATAGACTCAAAGCCCTTAATGCAGACTTTTTGCCTGTTCTAACTCTAAATTCCTTTTTCGGCCCAAATGCCTATTTATATGAAACTTTTAGGAACTTAATTATCTTTGAGACTTCTACCTCTCTG